GTATACACAGTCTCGTTGAGGAGTATTTTCCATGATTTTGCCATCTCCCATGCCAGTCTGGAGAAGTGACTTGTACAAATATTAGTTGGAGATTTCGCTAGGTGGATACAGCTGATAAAGGTTCTTTCCACTTTTAGACTGACAGAGACATGATCACCTTAAAAAGGCATTTGAGGACGAGTGCAATAAAGCTGAGGCTGCTGTTCAGTGAGAAGTCAAGCAAAAGAAGCTTCTACAGAACAATCAGACCAGCACTCCTGGCCTGGAGTGGGCATCTCTGGTGTCTGTGCTGCCGAGCCTGGTGTTTCTAGACTCTTGTTCAACAAGTAAACACAGCTGTGTGGAATATGCTCATGGACTAATGACTCTACATGAGAAATCTCTATGATCACTGCAGCTCATTTCCCTTTAACTTCTCAGAAATAATGAATCAAATATCTTTACTTACATAGAAATGAAATTATAGTGATTTCTAAAGCAAACTCCTCAAGTACACAAACTAAGTATTCCTCGGGTAGAAAAACGTGAGAAATTGTCACATGTGGTTGATTTTATGCAATTATCCTGAAGCTCAATAAAGAACATTTTTTATTAAACTCTACATACTGATTTAACATTGCATTGGGTTTTATTTTCATTTTTACATTCAGTTATGAATAGTCCTGTTACACCCATTGTATTGGTTAAAATAAAGAAGATTAAAAAGCTCATGTTCAAAGTGATATATTTAAGAAATCATATACTTGGAATTCAACAACATCACTTACCCACGAAAACAAGAGGAATTTTGACTGTATTCTTTGATAGGTGAGAGAATAGCAGCAAAGAAAAAAATAGCTCAAGAAAGAAGCCTATGTGGACAGTGAGGAAGTTCAGGAAAGGGAAGAAATAAGTAATTGGAAATGCTGATAAAATGAGCCCTGGTCAATGTATTTACAGGAGATATCACCCAGTTACTGAGATCCTGTGGAAGCCACTATTTTCTGGGTTTTGTTCTGACCCTGATCCAGATCCAACGAGACCAAGTTCTTGCCAAACACTGAACTTGCCTATTTCTTTAACAAAGTAAATTTTCTATTGACTTATTACACTCCTGGATGGATCCATTTGGCCACAAATCTGGCTGTCAATTCATAGGAGAGATGGTCACACTGGGATCTCTTAATTGTACCATTGAGAACAGAGTTGTAAAGAGGAAAGCCAATTACAGAGAAAAGACCTCCTGGTATTTGCTCTCTGGTTGTTGTGGAGTCATTGTCCTGGAGTGGCTGTCCCTGCTGGTTTAAGGCCCTGCGCTGCCATGTCCCTTCTGAATCCAAGTTCATTGTCCATATTCTTCTCAGAATAACAGGATTGCAGTTTTGGAAAGAGGGAATCAACTCTTAAAAGTTGTACTTTGTTCAATACATGTGTGCAGCTGCATGAGTATACACACACACACACACACACACACACACACACACATACACTATAAATGTAATAAAATTGGGGGTTTTGTTGAGACACTACATAGTATTGGTTGGCCTGGAACTCACTATGTTGTCCAGGCTGGCCTCAAACTTAGATAGAAGAATCACCCCTGCATTCTGAGTGCTAGGATGAAAAGCAAGGGCCACCACGCACTGCTAAATTCTTTTTAAAGAAATAAGATATTATAGAAACGGAAATATCTCACCTATATTCTGTCTGATTTCTTGCCCTCAAAATTATATTTTTCCATTTATCTTTGAGTGTGAATCTCTAATGTCTCCTTTCTTGCTGAGTATTACTCCATTCTATGACAATGCAACAATGTATCCTCATCACGACTGATATTAGTTCTTTCTCCTTCAGGACTATTACTTGTGGTGCTACTATGACCACACTTTGTGTGCCTTTTTTGTACAGGATTGGAAACGTGATTAGATGCACACATAACACTGTAGTTGCCAGGTTGAACTGGATGAATTCCTTCAGCTTCCCCCAGATAGCACCACCTTTTTTCCCAATGTTGTGTGAATTCACTTCTTGTCAATGGTGTGTAGGTGCTCAAAACCCTTTCCAATGCCTACAATGTCAAGTTCTAACATTTTTCATGATGGCATTTTAAATTACAGCATTAACTTCCAGTTCACTACTTCATA